GGATGCTATATCATAGTTATGTTCAAAACTTTCATCGTGGTATTATTTTTATTACAAAATATCTGCTTGGCTTGCCGCGCCTTTTGTGTAAGTTCTCAGTTTCACGCTGTAAGAACCAAAAAGTAATATCCAATCATCGCAGGATTCCATCGTCCTTGATATCGCTATTCTATCGCTCACTCCACCTAGATCATTTCGAAAGAAGTTTACATGGGAGAGTAAAAAGTGCGTCTTTAGTGGCATCCTAGACCCCATTTTTCTGTAATTCTCTAGCATATAATCAATCACCACAGCATAGTTTTCATCTGTGATTTCCCAAGAAAAATTTGACAACCAGTTTGAATTATTCCCAGGCAGCAAGTTTTTCTGATTGAGTAATGTTTCAAAATCATCATCCATCAGCACTTCCCGAATCTGTGGCCCAACAAAGATACCTCCTTTCATTTTTGCTTCACTGATTTTCGGAAACTTGTCAGACAGATATTTGAAACCATTACCATCTTTGTTCATTCTTTTTTACAAAATTCTTCATGAGTCCCAGTTTAATATAAAGTGGGGCAGAAACACATTTTGAAGATTCACGAAAGGTTGATACTCGATATTCTGTTTAACTGGTATGTAATTCTCTCTTACTGGCCATTCCTTCTTTTTGAAATGATTTTTATCATCTCGGCTGTCCCAGAGACACAAAAAGCAACACCGTTTGATATACCCACTCTGCAGGCCTAGCTGGAGTGCAATAATTTTTAGATCACTACATCGTGATCATATTTGATGGCCTCAAGTATAATTTGCATGCTTTGATAGGTTTATTTCATGTTCACAGCATGAGCAACAACGGCTCTCGTTTACAGCAATGGAGATTATTAGCTCCAGGAACAAGAGTTTCAGTTTTCCAAAGTCGCCATCAAAGACTTGCTTCTCACTACAGCATGTAAGATACCTTGTGTTTCTGTTCAGATGTTGATGCACTAATGGAAGAAATATGTACTGAACATCATCCTCTAGAATGTAAACTCTTTATCAACTCATCGAAAGTTAGTCTGAAAGCTGTACTTTTACACAATGGGAACACTAAGCCATCGTTTTTGAGCTCTACATGTGTGTTGTACAGTTTTCACATCTGGCTCGACACAGTGGATGAATAAGAAGAAAGCAATTTGCAGTTCCCATGATATGGTGTGAGCCCAAAGATCATTTAATTGACTATTAATTTTGCATGACTAATGTTTCTGGATATTCAGGGAAACTAAACAATGCATTAAATATCCAGATATTGTATTTGCAATGAAACCAGTCTTCCAGTGCCACATCCACCAGAAAGTTGGGAAACAGAAGAGTTATCCTGCGAAAAAGGCAATGAACCATCTTCATCTAGTAATTCTATTCCTGTGGCACCTCAACATATACTGCCTCATCTGATCACACAAGAAGAGCTAAATGATTCGTGACTTGTCTTTATAAAAGCAGCATGTGGAACTTCTTTAGTGGTAGTAAGCTATCTTTACCTTGTGTGTAATGTTTTTCTTTCGTGAAACTGTAGTATATTTTCCACAAATGTAGGAGAAACTGTTTGAGTGATTTTTAAACTTTCGGACTTTACTTGAATTGGAAGCAGAAAGCATTTCAGATGATTTTCTAAAAAATATACAATAATTTATGTTTACAAAACTAGAGTTTAAAAGATTTTAAACAATAAAGTTTTGCATAATTTGATTATATCGTGGGTATGATGCGAGGAAGAAGATTGAACTTTGTTTTGACTGTTCGCCCCTTTTATGCTCAGTCGAGGGACTTCTTGAATATTCTAGCAAACTGAGCACGTGAGGGTTTCGTGATTCCAGAGCGGAGCAGGTGAGCGTGGGAATGAAGCAAAAGAGTTGCTATTCGCTACAATTATATCAAGAACAAATAGCATGTATGAACAATATATTTGGAATTTACAACAACGCAATACAGTTAATATTTGAAGTTATCAAAACTGTATGTCTTTTATTCATTAAAGTGTTCAAGTAAACTTAATTTCACAGCATAAATCTTTTGTACTGAGTTGATTGCATGGTATTTCACATAGTGCTGATCAAATATTGAGATATTACAATAACTCAAAATCTAGAGGCGATGGACAAATTCTGACTACTTGTTTGAAATCAGCACCAATATATTACCTCGAATCACTTGAGTTTTCAACACTAAGAAACGTTTTGTCTAGTGTTGTTACAGAAAACAGGCATTGAAAGAGATGGGAATAGCGCATATATTGTTAGTTTGAGAAACCTTTAGTTTCAATGCAAATCATGACACAAGGGAAGAAACTTCCAAAACAACTGTATCACTAGTGTTCAGTAGCAGCAACAATATAAAATTGTCACGATTTGTAAAGTTTTGAGTGTTCCATGAAAAGCCGTTGAGTGTGAAGTGAAAATTTTGTCAACTGAATTTCTTGGTTACATTTTCAGCTTGCTATGTGCTTAATTCTTAATACTTGATTCTGGAGAAACATGCAAAATAGCTTTAAATATTTTAGTTTTAGGTTCACTAGTGGGTCAGCGACAAGTTTACGGATTTATGGTGCCAAAATCCGAGGCTCGTTTCTTCCGCGGTGGACACAGCGCAGGTTGTCCATTGTGAAGCTTTGCGATAAAAGTCAACAACAACTAAATTTTGATCTACTCATCCAGTAGTTGAACGATAAGAATCAGATGCTTTTGGTTTCGAACTGTTTCTTCTGAAGTGTGAGGTATTAAATTCATTTAGTTCGATGTATCCTAAAGACAAAATAGAAGTAAACATGCGACTTTATTTCGAGAAAAAGAGTCTTTACACAATATCCCTTTTATTCCACGAGATCTTGCTACATCACCCATTGACTCACCAGATGAGATAGGCATACAAAGAACTGAAAATCACACACGCCTGCATAGAAACAGAATAAGCAACACACACGCTCCAGAAAATACAACAAACAGGCTTATATAGCAATGGAAAAACTCAACAGAAGTGATGCGTAACGAAAGAGAAAACACAACAATGAGCATAGATGCAAATTAAGAAGGTATTAACAACGTGACTTTGATATAAAACACACACACACACACAGTTCGAAGGCTTTGTTCGTCAATGGCCCTAGCCAAGATATTTTATTAATACGTACAAAAGTATATGCTAACCTAAGTTCACCAGTTAAGTTTATATGCGTAACAGACGCACATAGAAATAGAAGGAAAATAATTAATATATAAATTCCGAAGACACAACACAACTCTTCTTAAATGAAAACAGCTTATATTACAAACACTTATACATTCAGTGCCACTTTTGCTGAATACGTTTCTTGTCTGCAGTCTATTCAGTCCTGAAGATATGAGTTTTATAGCAGATGTCAGTTCTATATTTCACTGATACTTGATCAAATATTAAGGCTTAATGTAATATGGTTCACTTGACCAGTGTTTCAATTTAATGAATTTTTCAATATTCCTGGCAGGGGCGATATAAGATTTATTGGGGCCTAGGAACATTGGGCACCCCGCACAACAGTCGCCCAATTCATTCATAAACTTCTAATAAAATAAGAAAAAGCCACTTATAATGTTAACGCAGGCACTACATTCATAATATAAGAAGGCATACCACAATATACTACCCTTAAAAGAACTCGCTTAATTTTGTCACATACAAAAACAAAGTAATAAATTTTAGCTCCAAGGAGTGGGGAGATAACTATTACGAACACACACATTGCGTGTATATGTGCCTGGTTGAAATTGCCTACGTTCTCAATAAGAATTAACATTAAGTATGTAACTAATTATAAAAAATTAAGATAATGTATGTCTTACCTTTTAAAGGGTCAGTTTTTACCAGGAAACCCTTATTTGGCTGGGACTCGTGAGTTGATTCGTACCTGACTAACAGAGATTTGTGTTAGTAACGTAAGACATTTTTATGATTAGGTCAGCTGACAATGACACCATATTGATTAAAACTTGTTCATTATGCAGAAGTTAGAAATAAAACAACAACAACAAACTCTGGTTCTAGGACCCCAAAAAATAGCACGATTAGATTAATTTAGATATTAGTAATCTAGTTTTAGATCATTGTACATGAACGTAATGATGTTAGTATATAAAACTGTTTTATTGTTATTATGTTACTTGGTCGCAAACATATATATTTATGTACTATTTACATATTAAAGTAAATATTGTCAAGCTTAAGGTATTGGTTTGTTTGTTTTGAATTTCGCGTAAAGCTACTTGAGTAGTGACGAATTAAAAGGAAGGCAACTAGTCAACACCACTCCCCGTCAACTCTTGGGCTATTCTTTTACCGACAAATGGTAGGATTAACCGTCATATTATAACGCCCTCACGGCTGAAAGGGCGAGCATATTCGGTAAAGGGAATTCGAACCCGCGACCCGCAGTTTGACTCTAAACACCAGGTAATGCCAGGCCTGATCACAGAGTTAACCCTAACCATCTGTTCATTTTCATGCCAGGCCATTTTGGTATGGAAGATTATAATATCTGTAAATTCTGTTTTGTAACTGAGTTAGTAAAAACATGTAAGTTGAAGGTGTTAACGAAATCCGGGGATTTTGAATATGAAATGTAAAGTAGTACGACTTTAAGTCATTGTCGTTATCAAAGTATTATACGTGAAAATGTATTTTTTTTCTAGACCAAAGCCTAGCCGTTGCTGATTCCAATAGCAATACTACGAAATCATTTGTGCCCTGTAAAGTTTGTGGAGATAAAGCGTCTGGATACCATTATGGTGTGACGTCATGCGAGGGTTGTAAGGTAAGGCCAGGCAGCGAATTATACTACCTTAGAATGTATTGCATTTCATGAAATTGTAAATATTGAGCCTAAGTATATATATGAGTTTATATAATAAATGACTTAGCTGATATATACCTAAGTATATATATATATATTCTGATACACCAGTGTCATTAGGCTAGATGTGATATAAGAAAGAGAACATCGCTGAAAGTGCATTGCATATAATTGTACAGAAATGAATGACCGAAATACTAAAATTATAAAACTGAACAAACCGTGTAAAGTAAATACAAGTTGAAGAATTATACAAATATGACATAGGATGTTTTATAGAATCCCTAAAACTTATGATTCATGAAGCATTAATTTAACGTTCCAATAGACTTTCTATAATAGATAGTGTGTGTGTGTGTCTGTGTATATATATTTAACACTAGTAAAAATTCGGTGTTTCTGTGACATGGAATTGAAGCAATTTACAGTTTATAAAATTTTGAAATGGTGTTTGTTTTTTGTTCAATGAACGATTTATACATACGTTAATGTACCGATAATATTGGATACAACGAAATTATAAATTATACTTTAATTAAGTAACGTCCACCTCTTACACTATGGAACTTGAAAGGTTAAAATTATGAATTACTATGAGTGTTTTGCAGGTGGTATTCTTTTTTTGCTCTATGGTTCAGCATCACGACATGTTTCAGAATGGAAATTGCTTATTGAAAAGGAAGGTTGTTTTTTTTATCAGGATGCTCTTGGAAATGTTGAAGATGATTATCAGCATGTGACGACCAGGACAAAATATTAATTCACAGCATTCAACGGATATATATATATATATTATCAACTAAATTATTGTTTGACATGAAACGCAATTTTGTAAAAAGTTAAGATACATGTTAGTGAAACGTTAACTCCGAATCACTATTTACGCTCTCAGAAACACGTTCTTTATCATTTTACGACACTTGGTGCACTTAATATAGCTGTTTATACTTATCCAATTACTGCTTGATCAATGTTTACGCGCACACGGGTAAGTATGCTCAAGTTTAAGTATGTATCAGTATTGTGATTGTGTGCTAGTGTGCAGTTTCTTCCTTTCTTTTATTAGCTTTTTATTTAATAATCAGTTATTGCAGAAAGTTTGCGTTTACGACAGCGAAACAAATTCAAGAAATACTTCTAATACTACTCCGTATATTACTAAACAACTTTAAACTAATGTTGTTCAGATTTGTTCAGAAAAAAGTCACTCTATCACTCTATGGAAAATTTTATAATCTGGTCGGAAAGTAGGATATATAGAAACAAAGTGTATCCCTAATAAGCCATATAGGTGTGTCCTGACAATTCGAATACGTGAAAAATGGGACACTGAAAGAAGGCTAGGCTGACTCTTGGGGTTTTCCGTACCGTCAAACATGCAGTTACAATTGATGAGGGAAATTTTTCATGAAAATTGTTAAAGTTGCAATAACAAAATTTATATCGTTCATAGTAATATTTAACCACAATCAACGAACAGTGGGGTAATTTTCAAGCTAGAAAAAAAAAATGTCCGTGAGGTGAGTTTTCTACTTGTATTCGCCAGGTAATAAATACATTTATGAGCTTATTAAAAATAATGAGGTCAATACATGGAAACATAAGCACACTTCTATGCTTGAGGCAACAACAACAACAAAAAAAGATACAAAAGTTATTCCACACTTTTACCTTAGTGGAACACTTGTACTCTTAATTAAGGCAGACTAATGATCCAAACTTATTCCACACCTTTACCTTATTGGAACACTTCCACTCTTAATTAAGGCAGACTAATGATCCAAACTTATTCCACACCTTTACCTTATTGGAACAATTCTACTCTTAATTAAGGCAGACTAATGATCCAAACTTATTCCACACCTTTACCTTATTGGAACAATTCTACTCATAATTAATACAGACTAATGATCCAAACTTATTCCACACCTTCACCTTAGTGGAATACTTGTACTCTTAATTAAGGCAGACTAATGTTCCAAGCTTATTCTAGACCTTCACCTTAGTGGAACACTTCTACTCTTAATTAAGACAGACGAATGTTCCAAGCTTATTCCAGACCTTCACCTTAGTGGAACACTTGTACTCTTAATTAAGTCAAACTAATGATCCAAACTTATTCCACACCTTCACCTTAGTGGAAAACTTGTACTCTTAATTAAGGCAGACTAACGATCGAAACTTATTCCACACCTTCACCTTAGTGGAATACTTGTACTCTTAATTAAGGCAGACTAATGTTCCAAGCTTATTCTAGACCTTCACCTTAGTGGAACACTTCTACTCTTAATTAAGACAGACGAATGTTCCAAGCTTATTCCAGACCTTCACCTTAGTGGAACACTTGTACTCTTAATTAAGGCAAACTAATGATCCAAACGTATTCCACACCTTCACTATAGTGGAAGAATTGTACTCTTAATTAAGGCAGACTAATGATCCAAACTTATTCCAGACCTTCACCTTAGTGGAACACTTGTACTCTTAATTAAGTCAAACTAATGATCCAAACTTATTCCACACCTTCACCTTAGTGGAACAATTGTGCTCTTAATTAAGGCAGACTAATGATCCAAACTTATACCACACCTTCACCTTAGTGGAACACTTGCACTCTTAATTAAGGCAGACTAATGATTCAAACTTATTTCACACCTTTACCTTAGTGGAACACTTGTACTCTTAATTAAGGCAGACTAATGATCCAAACTTATTCCACACCTTCACCTTAGTGGAACACTTGTACTCTTAATTAAGGCAGACTAATGATCCAAACATATTTCAGACCTTCACCTTAATGGAACACTTGTACTCTTAATCAAGTCAAACTAATGATCCAAACTTATTCCATACATTTTCCTTAGTAGAAAACGTGTTCTTAAAGAACGCAGACTTAGAAATGCAGTCTTCATAAACAAGTGTAATTAAACCGTAGGATTGATCTTATAGGACAAACCACTCCATTTTGACTTATTTATGATACAAATAATTACAATACGTTATTTTAGAGTGGTATAATGTACACTTGGACACAAACATATTCTTATGCCTACGATTTCTGTTCAGTATGTCATATCACACGCAGTTTAGTAAACCATTCACACACAGTTTAGTATGTTATTCACACGCAGTTTTTTTTCTTAGCACTATCTTAGTCATATTTTACATCTAAATAAATATTACGATTATAGAATATGCATTTTCAATGCAGGTACACTAATCCTGTTGGATGTGTGAATACAGAGATTTGTATTTGTATACACAAGTTGAGTATTTATTCAGTTATTAGGTTCGATATATCTAGAATATAGTTGAAATATTTGCACCTAAAGAGTTGAATATATATATATATATATATATGTGTGTGTGTGCTTTAACGAACTGAACTTATGTACACATAATAAGTATGCTGTATGTACATGCGCAGTGAATATGATTGTATACACACTTATTAAGATGGTGTATGTGCATTTAAACGGCCAGATTATTTACATTTATTAAATTTGTGTTCAGTTAGTGAGTTGGATAAACGTACGTTTAGTAATATGGATGCATCAGAAATATGCTTGCTTTGGGACACTTATTTAGTGAGCTAGATGTATCCAGTTGGATATTACAAGTACACCTGGTGGGTTTAGTGTATCGAATTAAATGTAAATATTTACAAGCAGGATAACGTACAGTAAATGGGTCGGATATATAATGTTAGATATTACAAGTACACCAATGGGTTGGGTGATTACAAGTTTCATATATTTTGTTTTATATCACTCATAGATTTCTACATCATGATGACATTTTTATAGAACTATATTATGTGTTTTTTGGAGAGATTATACTTGGGATAAATTATCAATTAAGGGCACCTTTTCATATTATTTTTACAAGAGCTATACCAACTTAAACTGGTTTACAGATAATTGAATACACAGATAGGCAAATAGTTGTTTAGACAACCATATAATGTAATAACTTAAATTGCTTACTTTAAATAATTACAAAGACGTATTTTTTTAGCAGCTGTTTTAAAACCCAAAACATTTCAGAATAAGTTATATACGTTGTACGTTAATTCATGATTTTGTACCAATTTATATGGTCCAAAGTTCAAGTCAAAGGCGTGCACACAAACACACTTGTGCTTCTGTGAAGATTGTATTTATTCCAATAACGCCAATCGTTCACACACACAAATAAATATAATATTCACACAGTTCAATATATTACTCACACGCAGTTTAGCATACTATTCACACGCAGTTTAGCATACTATTCACACGCAGTTTAGTATACTATTCACACACAGTTTAGTATAGTATTTACACACAATTTAGTATAGTATTTACACACAGTTTAGTATGTTACACACAGTTTAGTGTGTTATCCGAACAAAGTTTAGCATGCTATCTATTCACACGCATTTTAGCATACTATTCACACTCTTTGAGTACAGTATTTACCCACAGTTTGGCATGTTACTCCCACACATTTTACTATGCTATTCACATCGTTTAGTATGCTATTTACACACTATTTAGTATACTATTTAAGCACAGTTTAGTATAGTATTCACACACAGTTTAGTATGTCACTCCCACACATTTTACAGTGCTATTCACATAGTTTGGTATGCTATTCACACACAGTTTAGTGTGCTATTCACACACACAGTTTAGTATGCTATTCACACACACAGTTTAGTATGCTATTCACACACACAGTTTAGTATGTTACTCACACACAGCTTAGTATACTATTCACACAAAGTTTGGTATATTTCCGGTGAAATCATTTTTATGTTCAAATCACTAGCTCGATATTGATGATTTTATCAAATCAAAAATAAAAATTCTCTCTAATTAAATAATATGAATAGACTTTGTTTCGGTATAACCTACCAGTAAACTATTCAGCGTGTTTGTTTGTCCACGTGCTAGTACCGGTCCGTTTTAGTTTTACGT